AAGCTGCCAGACTGTTTCGCCAGACATTCAACCAGCCTGAGCATCCCGACAAGGAAAAAACCTCCATCTCTGGTGGAAGCCAGCCTTGTCTTTCTTACGCCGCCATTTTTGTTGACACATAGTGGTATTCCTACCATATGGAATTTGACTTAGACGTTCCTTTGCTTTTTCCTCATCTCGTCTCATCTTCTTTTTCATTTTGAAATTTCAGAAGCAGTTCTCTTAGCAACCGAAATTTTTAAAAATGCACACTTAATTACAACCCAAGAGCCGAAGTTATCAGAGAACAGAACCTCAGCTCCCTGGAGCCATTCTATGTGGATTTTAGGAAGACCTTTTTCTTGGTGTAGAAGAACACCCCCGTGCCATCCTCTTCTTTGTATTTGCTTCAGATATTCAGTGTTCTCAATGTGCTGTCTTCCAGCGATCATCTTCTTTGGCTTCCCAGAGCCTACTGTCCAGGAAGGAATGCTCACAGATACTGGGCAGCGACTATGAAGGACTCACTTTTATCAGCGCCTTGGATCCAGGGCAAGGCTGGGGCGCAGTTGGATTCTTTTCTTATTCCTCCCCCTTAAAGAAAAATTTTTTTAAAAGAGGGGGAGACAAACCCTATTTTCTCCAGTGTATTTACCACGATGGGGGTGTGTCAAGAAGTAATTGCTACTTGCGTCTGATCTGTTCGAACAGAAATATAGGTCATGCTCAGAAATTCCTGAAAGCCAGCGCTGTCTTGTCTGCCCGATGAGCGTGGGTCTGGTGTGAGGTTTATCTGGCGTCTGGGCTATTCCCTCCCCATCCGCCTTGACTTCCAGACTCTCTCCCTGTTGATTGACAAACTTCTGGTCCTAAATACAGCTTAAAAAAAAAAAAAAAAAAAAAAAACAGATCCCTGCGCTATATATAGCCACCAGCACGCTTCGCTTTGTGGCTATGCCCCTCGGCGCATTCCGAATTTCGTTGGCTCAAGGGGCCGGAGCGCGCAAATGACTTCAAGAGTTTGCTTGTCGCCCGCCCTTGGGCTGCAGGCCACGTGCTCCGAGCTCACCCTCCGAGGTGCCTCTTCCGAGATGCACGGATCACAAAGACTCACATGACAAGCGTTGGGAGAGCGAGCAGAGCCTGCCTGCAGCTCCTGTCTACGCACAGTTGGTTCCCAGCTGACAGAATATGGGGTGGGCTTTGTCACTAGCACGCCGGGCCTGGTGTGCCCAGCTATCCCTGAGATTGCACAGCGCCCAGATGCCCGCTGCCGCTGCCGGGCTCCACGGCACTCCGGCGCCCCGGAGCGGGCTCTTGCTCCCAGTCTTTCTCCCGTCCGAGAAGGTTATATAATGTGCGGACTGCTGCCCAAGTCAGAAGGAAGATGAAGTCTTTGTTAAACGCCTTCACCAAGAAGGAAGGTAAGGGCAGAGCTACCTGGAGTTGGAACAGATTCCAGGCGCAGGGGGAGTCCGGCACCTCCTAAAATTACCGGTTGCTATTCCAAGGCATGTTCAGAAAATGAGTTCTGGGGCATGATACAGTCTTGGTATACTTGGGCTTGACTATTAAGGCAGTTGGAGGGGCTATTTTGTTTGACTCTCCAGCTCCTTGCAGAATTGCATTCCAAGGGTACTTCCATGGGAACTGGTGTCAGGGAAATAAAGAGAGTTTTCAGCTTGGCTTATTCATTACCTGGGGGAGGGAGGGTGTGGGGAGGATGGCTGGCTGCTAAGTACTTGGTAAGGAAGCCTGGGACACTCGGCCGGTCACACGAAATTGAGGGGCAGACTTCTCTCTGCTCTCCCTGAGCCGGCATTTCATGGGGTGGCTGGGAGCCGGAGAGAGTGGTTAGCTTTAGAAGCGCATATGCTTTTTATCTCACCTTGTATGGTTTTCATTGTGGAAAAGGAGATGTATAAATAACGCTTGGAAGACGGCTAAGAAAATATCCACCCACTCGGGGTTTGCAGCTTACTTGCAAGAAGGAAACAGTTGGGTGGAATATTAATCATTTTTAGACAGGAAAAGGGTTATTTTTAACCCTTTTCAAAAAACGAGCATTGTCCCGGCTGGTTCTGATTGGATGGTTTGTCAGACAGAAAGTCTTGGTTTGGTGAGACCCAAAGGTTTATAAAGATGTTACTTGAAAGGTATCAGAGCCAACTTCCTGGCCTCAGCCCATCATCGCATAATCATGAAAGAAATTTCCAATTAAATGGCACAGGAAGCTAATTTAATAGGAGTCTTCGTAATTAAGCAAGGTAATTTTCATTAAAATGTTCCCCCTAATATCACTCGTGTGATTCCATTGGAGAAAAGCGCCTGGTCCTCAGGGGAGAGGTATTTGAAACTGTCCAAGCTATTTCAATTTCTTCATCTTCCAAGGGGTCTTCCTCCCCACCTGCCCGCTTTCAAACTCCCCCTTCCTAGGGACTTGTTTTTAATCCTCAGAAATGCTTATTTGAAAATCTACATCAGTGCTTACTTTCATAGATTATTCTCTGAGATGCATCTTGCAGGGTTTTGATTTTTCTAACCCATGAGCCTGTGGGATTATCTATTCTACTCTCTCATGGGCATTTCTTACTGAATGAATGTCTCCCAGTAATTGGGAGCAGTCCCCCAAATCCCATCTCTTTCCCTGAGGGCACTGATAACCAGACTAGCTGTGGCAGATGTGGAAATAGAATCGGTTGTATGTTTCAGCAGCATGAAAAGCTTGACAGGGAGCCCTGATGGCGCTGTGGGTTAGGCATTGGGCTGCTAACCTCAAGGTCAGCACTTCAAACCCACCAGCTGCTGCTCAGGAGAAATATGAATCTGTTTTCTCCCATAAAGACTGACAATCTCAGAACCCGCAAAGAGCAGTTCTGCTGTCCTGTAGGTTGCGTGTGCATCAGAATTGACTCTGGGGGGGTTTTGGTTTGGGTGTGGGGCGCTGGGCATGAGTTGATACAGTAGACATTCCTATAACTCCTTGAGTCGGAACCCTCCTTGGAGCTGGTGTGTTTCCATCCCACGCTGATGTGAGGGACCCCTTGTCCAGGAAGGGGGTGCTCCGGGAAGCCCGGGTGTCTGCTTGAAAACTCGGCTCTTTGGTACAATAACCTCGTGTAGCCAAGAACCCCCGTGTGGCAGATAACGACTCCCCAGATTCTGGCACCAGCAGCCCTTTGCAAGGCCACCCCACCCACGTCCCCATCCTTGTCAGACACACCCAGGTCTTCTCCAAGTAGCCGCTGCCAGTTGCTGTTTTCCAGGTCTATAAGATGAGCCCTTTCTTCCCTGATTCTCGGTGGCCTCGCTAAGAACTCCTTGCGCCAGGCTTCTGCGCTCTGGAGAGAGGCGTTGGCCGTGGAAGCCTGCAGTCTTCCGAGCGCCTTTGCTTTACTCTGAGATGCTGAGAGAAGGATGGTAGGTCCCAGTGGAGGAGCCGTCGCTGCTGAAGAGAGGCAGCCGGCTTAGCGTGCGTGCCAGCTGCTGCCTAATTGGGAGGAATATTGCCTCCCCGGTGTGTGCTCTCCAAATTGTACTGATGGTCCTTCCATCTGACCGAATTCCAGCTCTGCTTCCTCGGGAACCTCCTCGTGCTGGGTCTGGGTGGTTGCCCTGTGTGTGGTCTCTGCTCTGGTTTCCCAGGGGAAATGCATTGAGTCTGAGGTCTGCCTCTACCTCCCTTGCCCCCCTGAAGTCCACCAAGGTCACCCCTGTGCCCACTGAGCCCCACTGTCCTGTCTGCGGACTGTTGTGAGTGGTGGCTGCTCCCAGGCTCGGTGAAGGGGGATACAGTCTCCGTGATCACAAAATCTCTGGTCTCTGGCAGCTGCCAATGATGGACTGTCCCCACCTGGGTCAGTACCTCTTTGTCATGGTATTCTCCCTCCTGAAGCGCCCCTTCTCCTGTCATTTCAGCCTCCCCTCTTTTCTCCCATGAAGGGGTGTGATGCTGGTGGTCAGGGACACCAATGTAGGAGGTGGGGATGGTCCAGAAGTTACCTCGTGTCTCGTCTGTGTTTCCAAGGCAGCCTGTGGGGTTTCTTTGCCTTCAGTGCTCCATCCAGGAAATGACACCCCCATTTCTGGTCACAGCCTGAGGCGGAAGCAATTCTCCCCAGAGTGTCCTGGGGATGGTTGCCGTCATTAAGCCCAGGGAACCTCAGAGTCCACGTAACTGCCTGTCTCCTGCTGCCCACGTGTTGGGCTCTGTCTGATGGGCTGGCACAAGGACTGTCTTTCTTGGGGTGATACAGACTGATGCAGGAGGGATCTGGGTAGCAGGGAGACCAGTTTGCAATTGGTTGCAAAACCGAACATTTGACAGTTGGAACCCACCCAGCGACTCTGCAATAAAGATGCAGTAGTTCCGCGGGAGAAAGATGAGGCTTTCTACTCCTGTAAAGATTTACACCCTCGGAAACCCTGTACAGGGTCGCTATGGGTCGGAACCGACTCGACGGCACTTAACAACAACAACAAGTTCAAGTCTATAACTCGGGGAAGCAACAAGGCCCATGGGGACCCATCAGCTTGGAGGCCAAGTTCAGACGCCCTCCCCGTCAGCAGGAACTTGGCAGCAGTTTTCTGCATCCTCCCCTGCCCCCACCCGAGCTGTGAGATGGGCAGCCCATCAGCACACGGGTGAGAGGGGCCGACACCTCTGAGCTACAGAGAGAGTGGGAATGCTGGTCCAGATGGAAGTGTCAACTGAGCCCCTTCCATCTCACGCATTAACCTGAACCTCCACCAAGTGGAGATGTTCATAGCCCCCACCCAGTCTCTCTGCTTCTATGCGGGGTGAGTTCTGCATTTTGTGGGGTCCAGCCAGGGCTCCCCAAAGAACTCACAGCCTTGGCAATGTTTGCACAGGGTGGGGTGGGGGATGCAGACAGATCTGTGCCTGCCCATGTCCATGATACAGATCAGTGGCCGCTTGCAGTGACCGTGCCAACCTTGCTTGTGGGCACCTGCCAGCCAGGCCTGACCTTACATACCTCTCCTTGTCTCTGCACCCACAGTGCCCTTCCGAGAGGCTCCGGCATACTCCAACCGCAGACGGCGGCCCCCCAACACGCTGGCTGCTCCCCGGGTGCTGCTGCGTTCCAACAGTGACAACAACCTCAATGTCGGTGCCCCCGACTGGTCGGTCTGCCCCACAGCCCCCTCCCACCGTAGCCTCTCACCGCAGCTCTTGCAACAGACGTCCTGCACCCCCGATGGTGCCGTGAAGACCCTCGGGAGCTACACCCCTGGTCCCCGCAGTCGGTCCCCCTCACTCAACAGACTGGGCGGTGCCTGCGAGGACAGCAAGAGGCCACAGCAGCTCTGGCATGTTGGGTAAGGGGCTGCTCAGGACTGGGGCTGGTGGGATGGATGGATGGATGGTCAGGGCTGGGACTGGTGGGGTGCTCAGAGCCGAGCTAGTTGTGGGGTGGCCAGGACTAGGGCCAGTAGGGTGGCCAGGCTGAAGGCCAATGAGGTGACCAAGGCTGGCTGTTGGCGGTGGCCAGGATGTGCCTATGGCTTGCTGGGTGGCAGGTTTGCAACATGTATCAAAGAGAGGAAACCCCCAGGCACTTTGGTCCTGGTTTCTTAGACTTGAACTTGGAACCTGCCCAAAAGTTATGCAGCAAAGTTTTTTCTTTCGAGCCCCGATGAAGACGTTTTATAATGTGTCTGCCCGCTGCCCCATCAGGCCTCCTCTGAGGCCCTTGTCCTGCAGGGCGCTGTGGGGGGCTGTATCTGCTTTCCTTCCTTCAGTGCTAGTGTCTTCTGGGCCTCAGTGTGGACTGAGAGTGGCCTGGAAATGCGCTCTCTCTGGCAGCGTGTTTGCCAAGCTGCCATGTCAGAAACTCATGCCTGCTCTGGTGTCAAAGAAAACCCTGGCACAGAGGAGAAACCGAAGTTCAGTCGGGTGTTGAGACCTACCACATCCCTTCCATAACACTAGCAGCGGCTGTAACAGTGTGCTGAATAATTGATACTTTGTAACCAGCATCAGTAGCCGCAGCCTCCTGGTCCATTTCTGAGGATCAGACAAGTAGCAGCCAGCACAGGACTACCCCACCTCCCAAACAGCAAGAGAGGCGAGATTTGCACTCAGAATTTTCCAGTCTATGGCGTTCCAGAATTCCTCAGGCATCCAAAGCTTCCTCAGGCCACCTCGAGAGCTGAGTATGACACCAGGCACCAAGGGCCAATTGCTGTTTCTCTTCCCAGGATTCTCTGTCCAGTGTTCCTGGAAGTCCATCCTGCTGTTGTCCCACTTTACTGACGAGGGGGCTGAGGCATACTGGGGTTACAAACTAGCCTTGAGTCATGTAACCAGTGTGGAGCAGAGGCGAGATTCCAACCTGGGTCCCTGGTCCTAGAGACATCCCCTCTAGGGTCTTCTTGGCCATCTCCCAGCTAGTGGCCCAGGAGGGTCTTTGGGCCTGTGTCCCTGTCCGTCTCGGTGGTTCACCCGCCCCGCCTATGTCTCCACTTCTGAAGAACCTGGCTTCTCCCAGGCTGTCTGGGGGTCTCCAAGATGGGGAGAGAGACAGCTGACCCCTTCTGCAGAATTACTGTGTGTCGTGGACATGGGGGGAATGGATGCTGGGTACCAACACTTCCTGGGGATCCAGGAGGGAGCAAGCAGGCTAAGGGCTTAGAGCTGCAGCTACAGAAGCTGCTTGTGAAGGGACCTTGGGGTGCGCAAGTCTCCTGGCCATGCTCTCTGAGCAGGAACACCCCCCCCACACACACACACACACATACACGCCCCTTGAGCCAGTTCATTTCCAACCCTGAGATCCAGTTCCTGGCTCTGGTCTAGATTCTCACTTGAAGGAACCCCGTGGGACAAGTCCCAGGTGCTAAGAACAGCTTATAGCTAAATTAAAGGGCTCCCCAGTGGCAGCCAATTCCACTTCACACTGCTAGCTAAAATTATGACTATAATTTTTAAAAGAGTGTGTCCCCTTCCCCAGTATGAAATCTAATAAGATTCCGAAGGCAGTACGGCCAGGGACTTACAAAAGCAATATTACTTGTGTGGGGAGAAAGGCAACTGGGACCCATCTCAGGAGCCATGCGTAACAATCCACGATGTCCTGCGTGTGTCTTTGTGTCAGTGTACATGAGTGTGTGCGTTTCTCTGTGGACATAGGTGTGCACATTGTGTGTGTGTGTGTGTGTGTATAGCATGGTGTATAAGTGCATTTGTGTCCACACATATATGCATGCTCATAAATGCTTGTGCACATGGGCATGTATATTTCTATGTGCACATTTATATAGCTCCTGCATGTGTGTATATGCAGGAGCTATATAAATGTATATGGGTGTCCAGGTGAATGGGATCCCCACTAGCTGGACTTGTAGACATTGATTGGCTCTGGGCTCCACATTGAGTGCTGGGTCATCATGGGAACATTACTTCACCTCTCTGGGCCTCACCCTTGCCCTCTATAAAGTGGGGATCACAAGGCATCGAGTTGTTCTGAAAATGAAATGGGCCAATTTCTGGTAGTGCTGAGCACACAGTAGCTGGCAGTCCATCTGACCAAACTTCTTGGCCCTTGGATGGAACTCAAGTCCATGTCCATCTGAGCCCAGGACAGTTGGGTGCTTACTATGGGCCTGCCACCTGCCCGAGTCAGGAAAGGTAGCTAAATCCAACATCTCATCTCTGGGTGGTGCCCAGCCCTACCTGTCTACCTTCTGGGAGTGTCTTTGTCTTGCCCTGCCCCCCTCAAAGCCCATGTGTCCTGTGTCCAGCTGCTCCATTTTAAGTCCTTGCCAATGATGGTCACTACAACAGGGAGGCAGGTGACTACGTGACAAGTCTCAGTGGGCAGTGTGCCTCTAGTTCATGCATTGACAAGATGGGCATTGACCCACCTGGCAGGCTGGTGGGACAGAGAATTGGGGGCTGGCTTCCAGGCATCTCCTCAGGGCACCCCCTCCAGTGGAGATTAGGGATGGTAGATGTCCCCGTGCAGAATTCTGACCTGCACACCTGGTGAGGTGTGCTTACACGCAGACATGTGTTGTGTGATGGGGAGGGTCCCACCTACCAGCTGCTGCGCTCTCGTCTGCATAGGGTGTCCGGCAGGGCTCTAGGACCCAGAAGAAGGGCCACAGACAGCATGGGGTCTACAGGTGTCTGGGGGTGCACAGGCAGTGGGGTGAAGCCCTAGCCATTCATATCAGTGTGGGTGTGGGAAATCCACACAGCTGCTGAGACAGAAGAGTACAAGGCAGGTGGTTTGTATAGACAGAAAGTTATGGCCTCTTGCTTCTGTAGGTTGGGAAGTGCCGCCCTGGCAGGCTCTGAGGACACCCCCTCCTTGATTCCCCTGGCATTCCTTGGCTTGCAGCTGCTGCACTGTGCCTTGGTTCTGGGACCATCTTTTCTCTCTGTGTCTGTGAGTCTAGATTTAGGGTGTCGGCAGGTCAGCATTCTTGCTGAAGGCTCCTGGGGACGGGTCCTCTTCCAGCTTCAGGTGGTAGGTCCCAGGGTCCCCCGGTGCATGGAGTATCTTCACCAAGCGTCTTCCCTCTGTGCCTCTATGTCTTGTGACCTCTCTTCTGAAGCCACCTCAGATGGCACTGGGACCCACCCAACTCCAAGTGTCCTTATCTAATGATTGCATTTACAAAGACCCTTTTTCCATACAAGGTCACCTTCAGAGATGCTGGGAGTTAGGAGGTTACCATTTCTTTCTGGGAGACACTGTTCCATCAGGGGCACTCGCCCATGTGATGGGTGAAGGCTACCCAGAGGAGCCCCATGTCAGCCCCCAGGCCTGTTGGGCAAGTTCTGCACTGTCTGGGCTCAGAGCCTAGCCCCCCACTCCAAAGACCTGCATGTTCTTCCAGAAGATCTGGCCAGATGGCCCAGCTGGGGAAAGGGCTGGCTCCAGGTTCAGAGCAGCCCGCAGCAGATCCTCAGAACCTACAAGTGGGAGTTTCCATGTCCCCTCTCCATCACAAAGACACCCCCTTGCTTCTGTGATTCCTGCCTTGGGGTTAGCCACCCCATTACTCATCACCCAGTTGGACCCTCTCGCAAGCTGCTGGAGCTAACTCCCACTCATCTTTCCACTGTGTGGTTTTGGTGAAGTGACTTGACCCTTCGGTGCCTCGATTGTCTCATCTGTAAAATGGGGCTAAGGCTAGAGGCCACTATGAGCAGTGTATGAGGATTGAACTGGTTTGATTGCCCCTTGCTAACTAAATCCGAGTAGCTGTACCACGTGCTATGTGAGTCTTTGCTGCCTTTATGATTGACAGATTCATCATCCTCATCCTCGTCATCTTCTGGCAAAAAGCTCCCTCTGTCTATGCGTCCTGGTGTAGCACTGTGGGCTAATGCGTCAGACTGCAAAGTCATTTGAACTGCAAGGTTGGTGGTTCAAGCTCACCAGCTGCTCCTCGGAAACCCTATATAGGGTTGCTATGGGTTGGAATCGACTTGACGGCACTTCACAACAACAACAACATCTATGGGGTGGAGGCTTAGGCAGGCATTGGAGGGTGGCAGGCCTGCCCAGGTGAAGGAGAGCCACTTAGTCAGAGGGAGTTTCAGAGTCCTAAGGAGGGGACTTGCCCCCAGCTCCAAACTCTCCACATAACGCGCCCCCTCTCCCTCTCAGCCTTCCCTCCATCAGCCAGAGCCCTGTTTACCCAAACATTGGACATCGTGGTGGTATGAGGGTCCAGAAACCTTGGGCAGGAATGCAGTGGGCATGTGGGTGTGGCCATACTCCAGCCAAATATTCAGGGACTAAATGGACAGTGGGTGGAACCCACACACCCCTGCTGACCCCTCTGGGGTACAGTGGCTTTCAGAGTCCTCTCCTGTAGGGCAGCGTTTTCGTGGGAGATGGGCCAACTGGAAGTCAGGGTCCCCCTTTTAACGTTGATTCTATGAGCATCACACAGCCACCACCAGCCTGAAACATATTTCCCCTCACTGCCCAGCCTCCTCCAAGGTGGTCCCTGTGGTCACTTGTCTGTAGTCCCCATGGTCACCTGTGGTTCCCCCATGACCTCTCCCCCTCTCCAGGTTCCTACATCCCCGCTCCCGTTAATCTCATTTGTCACTGGAGTTCTCTCTGCTAGCTCCTCTGTCCTGGAGGCCCTGGTCCAGGGAGCTTGGGAATCCTGTAGGTGGTAGGCACTGCACACCTGGTCTGCAACAGCGCCCCCTAGTGTCACCATCTGCATAGCCTGTCATGATCCTAAGGAGGGACCTGAGGCAGGGTGTGGTGCCCCTGGGGGTCCACCCAAGACCCTCCCCACTACCCAGATGTCTCACAGGTTCCTGCCCATGTCAACACAGATCTCTA